CCCTGATGAACACAGATGGAAAAATGCTCAACAAAATTCTAGCTAAATGAATTCAACAATACATTAAAAAAAAATCATCCACCACGATCAAATGGGATTTCTTCCTGGGTTGAAAGGGTGGTTCAATATTCACCCAAAAAACACCCAAAACCCAAAAAACAAATAATCTAATTAAAAAATGGACAGAAGACATGGAGAGATATTTCTCCAAAGAAGACATCCAGATGGCCAACAGACACATGAAAAGATGCTCATCACTTATCATCAGGGAAATGCAAAACAAAACTACTACATCACCTCACACCTGTCAAATTGGCTAAAAACAAAAACACAAGAAACAACAGGTGTTCGTGAGGATGTGGAGAAAAAGGAAGCCTAGTGCACTGCTGGTAGGAGAGCTAACTGTGGAAAACAGTTTGGAGGTTGCTCAGAAAGTTAAAAACAGAATTACCTTAGAATCCAATAATTGCACTACTGGGTATTTACCCAAAGAATACAAGAACACTAATTCAAAGGGATACATGCACCCCGATGTTTATAGCAGCATTATTTACAATAGCCAACATATGGAAGCAGCCCAAGTAGCCACTGACTGATGAATGGGTAAAGAAGTAGCGCACGCATGCGCGCGCGCGCGCGCGCGCGTGTGTGTCGCATGAGTGCACACACACATGCTTGAGTGTATAATGGAATATTATTCAGCCATAAAAAAAAGTGAAATCTTGCCATTTGCAAGGACGTGGATGGTACTAGAGAGTATTATGCTAAATGAAATGTCAGTCAGAGAAAGACAAATATCATACGATTTTATTCCTATGTGGAAAACAAGTGAGCAATGGGAAGGAAAAAAAGAGAGAGAGAGAAACCAAGAAACAGAAAACTGACGGCTACCAGAGGGAAAGGAGATGCAGGAATGGGTTAAATAGTTGATGAGCACTGGGTGATGTGTGGAATCATTGAATCACTATATTGTGCACCTGAAACTAATATAACACTATATGTTAATTAACTGGAATTAAAATAAAAACTTATATGTGGTTAAGGGGAAAAATAAAGGGGGGGAAATTGGAGGGGGAGATGAACCATGAGAGACTATGGACCCTGAGAAACAAACTGAGGGTTCTAGAGGGGAGGGGGTTGGGGAGATGGGTTAGCCTGGTGATGGGTATTAAAGAGGGCACGTATTCAGTGGAGCACTGGGTGTTATATGCAAACAATGAATCATGGAACACTACATCAAAAACTAATGATGTAATGTATGGCAATTAACATAAAAAAAAAAGATTGATCTTATCTATGTCTTGAATGTTTAACAGATTTCACCAGTGAAATAATCTGAGCCTGAAGTTCTCTTTGTGGGACGGTTTTAAATTATAAATTCATTTTATTTAATACATCTAAGGCTACTCAGATTTTCTATTTCTTTTTGAGTCAGTTTTGGTAATTTGTATTTCCAAAGGAATTTGTCTGTTTTATTTAAATTGTGAAATTTATTGACTTCAAATTGTTCATAATACTCCTTTGTTCTCCTTCTAATGCATGGAGGATCTATAGTGATGCCCCCTCTCTCATTCCTAATAATGGTAATTTGTGCCTTCTCTCCTCCTTTTGTCAATCTAACTAGACTGTATAATAGATCTTTTCAAAGAACTATCTTTTGCTTTCATTGATTTTTCTCTACTGTTTTTCTGTTCTCTATTTCATTGATTTCTGTTGTTATACTATTTCCTCCCTTCTAGTTATTTTAGTTTTCATTTGTAGGTTCTTAAGGAGGAAGATCCCTGATTTTAAACCTTACTTCTTTTTTAACATAAACATTAAAAAGTGGTTCCTTCTCAGACACCTGGGTGGTTCAGTCAAACGTCTGCCTTCAGCTCAGATCAGGATCCCAGGCTCCTGGGATCGAGCCCCGGCATCAGGCTCCTCACTCAGTGGTCAGCCTGCTTCTCCCTCTCCCTCTGCCCTTCCCCTCTCCCCCCACTCATGCTTGCTCTGTCTCTCTCTCTCTCAAATAAAAAATCTTAAAAAAAAAAGTGTTTCCTTCTAAGTAGTCTTTGCTGTATCCCACAAATATTAAGATGTTGTACATTCATTTTCATTCCCTTCAAACTAGTTTCTAATTTCCCTTATAATTTCTTGACTCAAGCCTTATTTAGATATACTGTTTAATTTAAAAATATTTGAGAATTTTCCAGATCTACTGTTGAGTTCCAATTCCATTTGGTCAGAGAACATAATCTGTATAATTTTAAACCTTTTAAATGTGTTGGGATTTGTCTTATTGCCCAGCAATATAGTCTTTCTTGGTGAATGTTCAATGTACACTTGAGAAGAACGTGTATTCTGTTGGTACTAGGTGGAATGTTCTAGAAATGTCCGTTCCCATTGGTTATTACTGTTGTTCACATCTTCTGTATCCTGATTTTTTGTTTATTTCTTCTATCAATTACTGAGAGAGAGGTGTTAACATTTCCAATTATAACTGTGGATCTTTTTTTCTCCTTTCAGTTCTGTCAGTTTTTGCTTCATGTTTTGTTTTGTTTTTTTGAGAGAGAGAGAGCACAGTGAGTGGGGAGGGGGTACAGAGGGGAGAAGAGAATCTTAAGCAGGCTCCAAGCCCAGCATGGAACCCAACTCAGGGCTCACTCTCACGACCCTGAGATCATGACCTGAGCTGAAATCAAGAGTCAGACGCTTAACCGACTGAGCCACCCAGGTGCCCTGCTTCATGTATTTTAAAGATCTCGTTGATTGCATACATATTTAGGATTATCATGCCTTCTTGATGAATTTACCCCTTCATCATAATGAAATGTTCTTCATCCCTGGTTATATTCCTTGTTCTGGTGTCTATTTCATCTGATGTTAATATTAACTACTTTAGATTTCTTATGCTTCGTGTTTACATAAGCATGCCTTTTCCCCTCCTTTCACTTACAACCAATCTGTTCCTTAATATTTAGTTTCTTATAGAGAGCATATAATTCCTTCTTTTTATTTACTTAATCTCTTTTCTTTAAATTGGGGGATTCACCTAATTTTGAAGACTAGGTTCTGAAATAAAGTTGGGTGGTGATTTTTCTGGATCAAATATGATTAGGTTATAGCAAAACTCCTCTACCCATTTATGGCCCCAAACTAACCAAAATCTTATCTTTCGACTAGCAAACCATCATAAACATTAGAATTCTGTAATATTATCTGAGGCTTTCAGCCTGAAGCCTAACGGAAATAATTTTACTGAGGTTACACTGTTGCAACAGCAATAGGTTGCTCCTTTCCTAAATACGTGAAGAAATAAGTCAAAAGGGAGCTAAAACCAGATTAAGTCTACTTCTAGTAAATACTGCCAGATAACATGTACTGAATTCACATTCAGTTCTGAAATGATCTTCTTTTATGTTTCTCAAGGTTTTCTTCTACCATAAGATCTAAAACCACATCATCTTTTGACTAGGTAGCAAGCCATCAGATGCGTCTTCTAGGTATATATCTCTCATCTCTATTGGATCACTTACCTTTCTATTTTATAATTACATAGGACTCTTTAAGAGCAGGGACTCCATCTTATTCCTTTTGTATTCTAGTACCTTGCACTGTAACTGAGAGATTGTAGACCCTCAATAAATGTCTGTTGAATGAATGAATGAATGAATACATGGGACACAAGAAGAGAACTTTTTCTGTGACAAATGTGGCTGGAAATCTATTTAAGAGTCCAGAGGCTGAGGAGAAAGGGGAAGAAGGACAATATTCGACCTGCCAAATCCACTCTCTCTCCAACATTCACCAAAAGGTAAAATTTTTCACTTTGGACCACAAAGCCAAAATTGCAGAAAGGTGTATTTGCTAAGAGCAAAATAAACAGATCTCCAGTGGTAAGGAGAGACCCTTCTATAAAACAAGAGCTCCTTGGGGCTGCATTCATGCCACTTGTCCAAGATGTTGCAGAAGAACAACTCTGGCTTGTGTTAGAGTTGGTCCAAGGTCAAGCATAAACTATCCTGAAGAGGCTCTAATGGAGACTGGGCCACAAATAAGAAAAAAGGTCAAAGTTCATCTCTGGAATGAGGAGGAAGGGAAAAGTTACAGATAGGCATCTGAAGTCAAACCAAGAACTGAATGAGAAAAGATCAAGAGACTAAAAATCCAAACAAGCGAGGTTAGAGGCCGTAGCCAAAGTCAAATTATACTAATGGTAGCCTCTTTGTGGCTAAGTGCCATCTTAAAAAAGAGAAGTTTGGAGACTGCCTTGAAGTCCTGTTCCCAAGTGGTACAAACAAGCTCCTCAATCCTTCTGCTGTTTCCTTCAATCCTAGCATTCCCTGGGTCTTGGAAGACAAGCTTGGGTCCTTGAGAGTAAGAACAGATACTGAGGTAGGGCTAGGACACTTTCCTAAGCTCCATGATTTGAGGACCCCATATCAGACAGTCCAAAGGTTTGTTGTAAAAACAGTTGCTGACATATTATGGCTCAGTGAGAAAGCACTCAGATTGTGAAGCAACTAGATCTGGGTTTTTATCTAGTTCTGCCTCTTCCCACCTGGGCTTAGGTAATTTACTTAAACCAACTTTGTTTCTTCACCTGTAAAATGGGAAAGACCGAGAAATTCAAATTTCACTGAATTGTGATAAGAGCTAAGTAAAATAACTTACAAGATACCTTCTATTCCATAGGTGGTTAGTTCTATCCACCTGGTAGTGGGTAACTCGATTGGGCCATTGTAAGTGTAAGTGTGTGCCTCAGGGTTTGTGGATTGGGAAAAAACACATGGGCACATACACACACATATACTCCGTGCCTACCTATCTTACCTATTACCATTCACAGAAGTCAAGGACACCAAGTAATACAGCTCTTTGTGAGCAAACATGTGAGTCTCTGTTCTGGAACATATGTCTTATGTTAAATACCAAAAAGTTAAAAGATTGGATGGGAGATTACATGAGTGTTTATAACTAACACGAAATGGTCAAAACAAGAAACCACAAAGTTCTACCTTCTGGCTTTGAGGCCCTTCTCCCTCATCCAAGGCCCCCTCGTCTTGCTGGTCATAGGCAGGGCCTCCCAGGATTCGGATTCTCTTCTCACACTGCTTCTTTGCCACAGTCAGTTGGTTAATGTACCTTTTCATATTCCTGGCCCTTAGGAGATCAGCTTTCATTGCAGCAGTTTCTTTACCTTGAATGGGATGGATGGACAGGACCCAGTCAGAGGACAAGGTACAAAAAGGGGAACGTTAACAACTCTGAACGAGACTGGTGTCTGACATGGTACATTTTGAACAGTGGGTACTAAAGAAGAGAATTCATGCTAAACACACACACATACACATATATATACCCTCAAATAGAAGTACCATTAATTTCTAAATACACCACTGAAAAATCCTACTCGGGTATAAAACATTTTTTTAAAAAACCTCATCTGTACACATAAACTCACAATCGATGTGCATATGTACATGTGTATTTAAATATATGTATGTATCATGTGTGCAGAGTCATTCCTAAGCATGCAGTGAGTGCTCACTGTGTGTCAGGCACTGGCTAGTAGGCATTTGGGACTCAAGACCAATTGTTAAATCTCATGGAACTTAAAGCCTAGCAAGGCAGAAATCCAAAGACAACAGGAGCAATTATGAGCATATATGGGCTACAAAGAAAATGCGCAGGTATCTTTGAGCTGCTTGACCAGTGCTTCTGATCCAGGTTTCCCTGAGCAAATTACACTCAAATGAAATGAAGAAGGAGTGGAATGTGGCACCCAGAGAGAGCAGCAAGTGTGAAAGTGAAAGCTGTGAGGCAGGAAGGAGAGAGCCTGGGAGGACCTGGAAGAACCAGTGCAGCAGATGCAAGGGGGAGATAGTGATCCAAAGTAAATATGGCGGAGGCAGGAGCCAAGAGACACAAAGCTGTTTAGTCCATAGGAACAACTTCGGTCTTTAGCTCAACAGCACTGGGCAGTTTCTAATGGGTTTTAAGCAGGAGTATGTGATAAATGGGTTTGTGTTTTTAAAGATTATACAGGAATGGTAAAAAAAAAAATAACTGGAAGGCAAAGACTGCAAGAAGAGAAACCAGTTGAAGACCACTGCAGTAACCCAGGAGGCAGATGCCTAAACCAGGGTCACAGCAAGGGCAGGAAAGGGGACTAGAAGGATCTGAGAGTGATTTATAAAGAGAACTAACAGGACCCTATGATTGACCAGACAGGGGAGAGGGTAGGTGGCTGAAGAAAGTAAAGAAAACAGAGGTATCAAAGATGCTCCCAAGTTTCTGCCATGAGCAGCCATGGAGGTGGTGGGGCCAATTATGAACCAGGGAACATTATAGAAAAAACAGGTTTATGAAAGATCTTAAATTCAACTGTGGACAATGTGACAGATGATATTTGCCAAAGGTGCTCACAAGATCTCTCATCTCACCTGCTCTTTTTGTCAATGTTACTGTGACAATCTCCCTCTGAGAAGGAGGGTATGTGTTCCGTTTTCCCAAACACAGGTGGGTTTGTGATTACAGAGGAAGTGAACCCATGGCTTCTTTTTTTTTTAAGATTTTATTTTTATTTATTTGACAGAGAGAGACACAGTGAGAGAGGGAACACAAACGGGGAGTGGGAGAGGGAGAAGCAGACTCCCCGCCGAGCAGGGAGCCCGATGCGGGACTCGATCCCGGGACTCCAGGATCATGACCTGAGCCGAAGGCAGTCGCTTAACCAACTGAGCCACCCAGGCGCCCCATGAACCCATGACTTCTAAAGCTAGATCGTAAAAGGCCACACACTTGGAGCCCTGAGCCAGCCACCTGGTAAATCGTCCACCAGCCAGGAGGCCTCTGTGCTTTGAGGAGGCCAAAGCAGTCATTGGAGAGATCTACATGGAGAGGTCCCCCAGACCACAGCCCTGGCAGGACCTCAGCTCACATCCAGCACCAACTTGGCACCATGAACATACACCATCTTGAAGGTGAGGCATCCAGCCACGGTCAAGGAGAGAAGAGTCATCCCTGCCAAACCTGCTCAGACTGCCAATTTGTGTACAAAAGAAAGGACTATTGTTTAAGACACTGCATTTTGGGGTGGTTTTGTTACACAGCAAAAGAACAGGCAAACTGAGTTTAAGGGCATTTGGCTACCTGAGCAGAGATACAAGGTGTGGAGTTGAGAAGTATTCAGCAGTCGATGGTAACTCAAGTCACAGGAGTAGGTGAGACAACCCAGGAGGAGATAAAATGGTCCCAGTACAGAATCTAAGTAAACCCTACATTTAATAGAAAGAAGAAGCAGAGCTAGCAAAGGAGATGGTGAAGGAGAGACAGAAGGAGAATGTGAGTGTGTGGTTTACAGAGAAGCCAAAGAAGGAATTTCAGCAACACGGGAAAAACAGTATCTCGTGTGTGCTATGCACAGCCTCCCAGCTGGTCCCATGCTGTCCCCTTCGTCTCCCCTTCAGTCTTTGTGAGCACGGCAGCCAAGGCTAACCTGTTTAGCCTATCAACCCGATCACATCATTCCCCTGCTCAGAACCCTCCCCCATGCCCCCATTTCTCCCGCAGTGAAAGGCAAGGCTCTTTCAGGGGGACAGAGGCCCTACACACTCCAGACTCATCCTCTCTGACTCCGCACACACGTAACCACACCGGTTTCCTTATGGGCTCTTGTTTTTGTTTTTTTTTTTTAAGATTTTATGTATCTATTTGACAGAGAGAGACACAGCGAGAGCAGGAACACAAGCAGGGGGAGTGGGAGAGGGAGAAGCAGGCTTCCCGCGGAGCAGGGAGCCCGATGCGGGGCTCAATCCCAGGACCCTGGGATCATGACCTGAGCCGAAGGCAGACGCTTAACGACTGAGCCACCCAGGCGCCCCTCTTGCCTTTTTTAAATAACAGCTTTATTGAGATACACTTCACAGACTATACGATTCTCCTTATTTAAAGTGTACAATTTAACTTCTTTTAGTATATTTACAGACTGTGCAGCCGTCACCACAATCACTTATTTAGAAAATTTTCATCACCCTCGGAAGAAGCCAGGTACCCATTAGCAGTCACCCAACCCTCTCAGCCCTGGGCATTTTTATGGGGCTTTCTCTATGGATTTGCCTATTCTGGACATTTCATATAATACGTGGTCTTTGGTGACGAGCTTCCTGAACACACTGGGTGGTTCCCTGCTCAGGGCTTTTTCATGCCTTCCCTCAGTGAGGCCCTTTCATCCACCCCTGGATCTGCAGGGCTCACTTCCTCACCTCCCTCAGATCCTCAGTTCAGGTCTCGGGGGAGCCCTCCCTAGGTACCCTATTTCTAACTGCAACCCCCAGCCTACAACACTGCCTTTCTCCCTCTCTGCTTTACTTTCTCCACCTATAACCACACTTATATTCGACTTACTTATCCTGTAAGTAGGTCCTCATCAAGGTCGGCATTTTGCTTATTTATACACTCTTGTATCTCCAGCACCTTTAACAGTGCCTGGCAACACAGTGGAAACTCATTAAATATTTGTTGAAATGGATGAATGAGCTGTGTCAAGTATTCCTGAGCGGTAACAACCATAGAGTGAACATTTCGCTAAGTGCTTATTATGTTTCAGGTATTGTGCTTCTCTAAACTTGGGCTCTGAAGGAGAGAAACAGAGTATCTTTACCTCCCATTCTTCATTCTACGGCAACAATATGGTTTCTATCCCTTCTCCCCACCGAATCTGCCATTGCCAATCACTAGCGACATCCATGTTAAATACAGCGGAGAGTTTTCATTAGCGTCTGGAATTAGACTTAAATTTGAATTCTGGCTGTGCCACTTAGGAGTTATATGGTCTTAGCAAGAATTTTTTTTTTTAAGATTTAATTCAAAAACATTTATAATGGTATGTTTCCTTATGTTAGCATTATACAATTTCAAGTAAAAACAAAAAACTTACACAATATTAATTTCTAAAAATGACTAAATATTTAGTCATTTCCTTGTGGAGAATGGACACGCTTTGCATACACAACATGGAGGCAGGATTGGGATTGAGGGAAAGGCTTTTTTTTTTTTTTTTAATGGGAGAGAGATGAGCTGGTTTTAATGCTGATGAGAAGGAATCAGTTAAGATAGAAAGAGAAGTGACAGATGGGGAGAGGCATCCAGAAGACAGGTAAATGGACCAGCTTTGGAAAAAGGCCACCTCCTCCACCACAGTAACACAGAAGGCAGAAGAGAAGGGATACATACAAAGCAAGTTTGAAGACTGGTGGTTGGAAGCTGGGGCGGTTCCCCTCATATGGTCTCCGTTTCCTTGAAGTAGTGAGTAAGGTTATCTGCTTACAGGGAGATAAGTAAAAAGGGCAATTGTTCAGAGGCCTGCAGAAAGTGGAAAAGTGGGAAATCCTCTATGGAACGCAGAAGAGCAGGCTCATTTCAGAAACAATGAGATTGTTTCAGGCAATGTTCAGGGACTAGGTGACCACTAGAAAAATATAAATATACCTAGGCAGGTAGATCACACCTTCTGAAGGTGAGTTCTAATGTGCTCAGTTTAGATCGGAACTACCCATATTTTTTTTTTTTTAAAGATTTTATTTATTTATTTGAGACAGAGAGAATGAGAGACAGAGAGCATGAGAGGGAGGAGGGTCAGAGGGAGAAGCAGACTCCCTGCCGAGCAGGGAGCCCGATGCGGGACTCGATCCCGGGACTCCAGGATCATGACCTGAGCCGAAGGCAGTTGCCCAACCAACTGAGCCACCCAGGCGCGCCGGAACTACCCATATTAAAGAAGGGAGTCTGGGTTCTGCTTCTTGGTACCCCTCCAACTGTTTTATAGAACACTTTGTAATGTTTTACAGAACTCTGCCGGAGACCTCCAGTCCCTAGGATGGTCATTACCTCTCTCGACCCACTTAGTCAGTTTGTGCAGATGCCTAAAACAGTACCTATGCAAGCTGAACAAACTACTGAGACAACTTCGGTGAGTACCACAAAACATTTGATCTTTCAGAAGCAGCTCTTTTCTGTACATAGCACAAGGGTAATAGGTAGACTTCAGGTCAACAGATGGCTTTGTTCCAGAGGGTCTGTCAGATATTACAGGATGACTTTTCTGTATGTGCGCTGAAGAGATGCTTTCATTTGACTTTCAACTTGTCCTATGCTTGGCTGATAGGCCCAGACCAAGGAGCTCATTAACTCAATGTTAATAATAATAATGAGGATAATCTCAAAAGGAAAAAATAGTAATTCAGAGACCCCTTAGTGGGAGATAAAGGTAAATGTAAGTCTGCTTCCAAATCAGTCTAGCACAAACTAGGATGCTTTCTGTGTGTACCAAAACAAACACACGTTTGGAACAGCTAATTTTTCAGAAAAAATATTTTCATTTTTAAAACGTACATCTTTAAAATCTAAATTTTACACATTTTTTTCTAAAGATTTTATTTATTTATTTGACAGAGCACAAGCAGGGGGAGCGGCAGGCAGAGAAGCAGGCTCTCCCAAGGAGCCCGATGTGGGGCTTGATCCCAGGACCCTGGGACCATGACCTGAGCTGAAGGCAGATGCTTAACGACTGAGCCACCCAGGCATCCCTATTTTATGCATATTTAAAATACCCTAAAGTTTGGGAACAAAATAATTGCCTTTTATAAAATAAATCTAGGCCACAGTTTTAATTTGGGGTTAAAATAGGCTAGTAAAGAGACATATATAGGAAGAAATTGACACACATTTATCAACAACCAAATTCTTCTCTTAAGAAAGCATAAAAACCTTTCTAAAAGCACAAAAACTAGAAGCAAATTCCAAAAGGACGGAAGAAAGAGAATAAACCTTCATCTAAAACCCAGCTGCAGGGCTGAGAAGAATATTCTCGTGTTCTACTTGAATGTCGCCTGCTCACGTGAATACAATGCCATTGTCTGATCACAAAGCTTGTTGCTAACGAATCTGACAGCAGCTTGTTGCTTAGGCAATTCTGTTTATTTTTGCCTCAGAAAACTAATACCACGTTCAGTGCTAAATGAGTAACATGGAACTCATGCAGCCCGTGTGTGTGTCGTGCCAAAATCCTTGTAAATCCAACGATGTAGATGAATATGCTCTGTGACCTGAAAACCCATTCAGTCAGGAAGTATTCATGCCACGAAAAGTATAGGCCAGTGGGCATGTGACAACACACTGTGGCCCAGCTCAAGCCAGATTCACATGGCTGGCTCTCTGTCGAGCGTTAGGGAACACTGCATTGTTACAAGCCGGTGAATCACACAACTGTTTGACCTAGCTTTAAAAAGAAGCCAAGAAGATAAACAGTGGCAGGTGAAACACTGAATGGCAGTGGCTCTTGAAACTGGTGCCAAGATGAACACACAAGTGATAGAATATTCTAAAGCAATGAATTATAAATATTTACTGTTCTTCCTTCTGAATAGTCCAGATTCTACCGAGGCCACAACAAAAGGAAATGGTGCATTGGGTTCCTCTGCTGAAAAAAGAAATTCAGATTAGACATTGGGTGAATGCTTTTGGCTATGAAGACCTTGCAGGAGACCTATGGACAACATCGGGCACTGCTTTTTGCTTTAAACTTTCTGCCCACAATACAGTTCTTCTTCAAGCAAGTGAAGTGTCTATCAGTAAAGTACAAACACCAGGGAGAACTGTTAGGTACGACTTCTAATGAAGCAAAGGAGAGTGAAGTCACTTACAGTGTAAACTAAGGACTCCAGAAACAGCACAAGTGTAAGTGGATTAACATGGCACTACTTTCTTTTTCAGGTCCTAGAAAATGTCACAAGCAGAGTATTTTTTCTTTTCTCATAGCACGCTACCAAATCCCAAGACATCTCCTGACGGCAACACTCTCGGCAGGCTGACTGGGGGAGTCGATGGGTAACAGAGCAGGGGTTCTCATCAGCAACACTACTGACGTTTTGGGCTGGACAAATTTTTCTCGTGGGGGCCGTCCTGTGCATTGCGGGATGCTGAGCAGCATTCCTGGCCTCTACCACTAGATGCCAGCAGCATACTTTCCCCCAGATGGGACACCCAAAAAGGTCTCTGGACACTGTCAAATGCCCCAAGCACCCTGGGGGGCCCAAACTGTGCCCTGCACTCCCACCCCACCGAGAAGTACAAACTCTGTGACAGTTAAGGAGACAGGGCTGCATGCACACTTGCCCCCTTCCCCTGACTCCCCAACATGTGGCTTTCCTCCCCAGGATGCACAGGCCTGTTCTTGCCCGGTCCCCCACCTCCCCACCCCCTCCACACCCCACCCAGGCCCTCGAGGTAAGGAATTAAAGGAGTTCCTCACCGGAAAATACTGGGCCTCCATTCCTCAACTCGTGTCCATAGTGACAAACTAACAATCCTTTGAATCTTTCTTGTTCATGTAAATAGAAGTTTTAATAAACCCTCTTGAGAGAAGGAGTCAAGGAACGGGTATGTATTTACCTAGGGACTAGTCAACTTTCAAAATGAAAAATGGTGCTCCACTTTTTAACACGAAACTAACAGCAATTCTCAGTAGTTACTAATCATCACAAATTTCTTCAAAATTATCTGAAAATCACCTCAGAAGTTGCCCAGGAACTAAAATATATATACATTTATCTTACTTTTCAACTTGAGGCCAGTATGTTCTTTTTCAAAAAGAACACCTGGGATTTTCTTACCACATCAAACACCTGAGTTTCAGTATAAAGTGTCACTCCACTTTAGCAGAACGCATACTTGAGGAATAAGCAGAACACGGCGGGAGCTGATGGCGGAAGCTCTCATGTTATAATGGAGAAGAGTACAGAGAGCTGGTAGTCTGACCTGGCCCAGTCTGGTCAGGTATGCTTACAGTACACCTTTTCTTCCTTCCTTTAAATGTCTCAAGTACTCAAACTCCCTGCACTTCCTTTGGTTTAAAGCCCCCCAACATGCCTGCAATACATTTTTAAAGTAATAATGTATCAACTAAATCCACACAATAGCTAGGAGAGTCCTGCTCCCAAACAGGAACCATGAGCTGAACAGGTATGAGACATACACTTAGAACACAGATCCAGCCCAATAATTTGTAAGTTTTGAACAAGACTTTCATAACATCTACCCATGTGAATAAGCAGTGTAGTGGGAAGAGACCAGGACTAAAAATCAGGAGACCTGGGTTCAAGTTCAAGTTCAAGATCTGTGTGTGACTAGCTCTAGTTACACCAGGTATATTATTTACCATCTCTAGACCTGAACTTCATTTGTATAAATGCAGGTGTTAGAATATATGATGATTAAAGTTTTCTTGGGGTACAGAGGTGGGAGGAGGACTGGCTATAATGTCATAGGACTATAGAGAGAGTAGTGGAAGAGCCCTGAGCCCTTATACCCTCCAGGCAGAGGACAGACAGGGACCAGGGAGCTAGGTGGGATGCTGGAGAAGGGACAGCAGGTGCCAGAGGCTGCAGTACTCACAGCAGGAGGGCTGGGCAGGGAGAAACCCTGGCAAGGGCCCCTGTAGCCATGGGCTGAGGTGTCTTCTAAGTTTAGGTCATTCATAAATTAGGAACTGTTTGTATCAGATTGCTACAATGCTAGAAAATCAGATCATATCAAAGCACAATGAAGGACACTGAGAAGTCCACTAGAGTCTACAGATTAGCTCCCTTCTTTCAGGCAGGGGCACCTTTAAATGCAAGATCAGACAAAGAAGGTACATATTATCTTTATTAAAGTAACTTCTAATGGAAATCATTATGGTCCTTATCAGCAACTATCTGTGTCCATATACATACGCAGTATTTTCTGAAGGTCTTCTATAGTTCTACTTGATATATGCAGTTCTAAAACGGTTTACTTAAACTCTAAAGAAGATGCACAACGTGACCAAAGCCCATCTATACTATGAGCATATTACTCCCAGGGTATACTATTAATACTTGGCAGTTTCTAGCAGACTCAAATCAACATCATGTCCTTTATTGTAGTCAGCTGAATAAATGTTACTCTTGAATCACCTTAACTATTCTTCATAACATTTCAGGATTCAGAACAGAAGAACAGAAAAGAAGCCTTTAAAAAGGGAGCTGTAATCCTGGACTTACTCCCACCAAGCTGCAGGGACAATTTAGCTTATGTCCTGGTACTACTTAGAATTCCTATACTTAACCCATGTCTTAGTTCGTTCAGGCACCTACAACCACAGACTGGGCGGCTATAAACAACAGAAATTTGTTTCTCAGTCCTGGAGACTGGAAATCCAAGATTAGGGTGCCAGCATGGGCAGGTTCTGGTGACAGCCCTCTTCCAGGATGCAGTTGGCCACCTTTTTCCCACATGGTAGAAGCAGGTAGGGATCTCTCTGGAGCCTCTTTGATAAAAGCACTAGCCCCATCCATGAGGGCTCCACACTCATGACGTAAGTACCTCCCAAAGCCCTCACCACCTACTACCATCATGTTTGGGTGTTAGGATTTCAACGTAAGAATTTTGGGAGACACAAACATTCAGACCACAGCAGTCAGCTTATTTCAACAGACTATTACTCAACTAGTCTGGCTGTTCTAATTGTAAATAAAAAGCTAAAGAGTTGGCTACTAAAATACAAACAGTAATACATTAATGGCTCTTCATTATCTACAGCAGTGGCTCTGTGTGGTTCCTGGATGAGTAGCATCAGCATTACTGGGGAACCTGTGAGTACTGCAAACTCTTAGGGCCCACTCCAGATCTCCAGAATCAGAACCTTTGGAGTAGGGCCTGGGAATCTGCATTGTAACAAGCCCTCCAGGTGATCCTGATGCACAGGATAGTTTGAAAACCACGGCTCTACAGGATTAAGTCCAAACTTCTTAGGATAGCTTACAAGTCCCTTTAGTTTCAGCTCCTGTCTTCCTATTAAGCCTTACTTCTCCATTACATGCCAAGCACCAGCACAGTGTCTCACTTGACATAACTTACACACAGGAGGCCATTCCACAACTGTCTTCTTTGTCTGTGGACATGTGGTACCATCTATCCATATCCACCTGATAAGCCCAGAAGGAAATGAGGGCCATTCAATCTTTCCAACTCAATGCTGCTACTCTGAAGAAAAAGTCTTTCTTGACCTCTGTTCCAGGTAGAGCTGACTGCCCCGCACATCCATTCCACTACTAAATCCTGAACTGTAACTCTCACCACATTATGAAATTGTATTATAATTTTGTATGTGTATCTCCCTGTCTCCCTGTTAGACTATGATCTCCTTAAGGTCAGAGACAGTTTTTCTCATTGCACAGCGGTGCCTAACACATAATGGCATTCAAAAAAAATGTTTGCTGAATGACTAAAGACCTACTTCTAGTGATTAAGACTTCCTCCAGAGTGCATTATTCTCTACTGACAGGACGGTCCTAAAAACTCAGGAGTTTTCTTACCTACCCAGAATCAGGGGAAGTGGGGTTGTGATCAGAGAAGAGACATCTGAGATAAATTATAAAGGTAAGTAGGAATTACCTAGACAGAGTGAGATTGGGAGGAGGGTAGCATTCTAAGAAGAATCAAGAAAATGGGCAGGGAATATGAGGCAGGATGAATCAGGGTGAGTTGAGGAAAAAGAAACACTGGTGTGGCTGGAGTACAACGAGAGGGAGAGGAACGGCAAGAGATGAGGCTGAAGACTGAAACGCGGGCCAGAGCAAGCAGGACCTTGTGGGCTGCATGTCTAAGGACAATGGGAAGACAATGAAGGGTTTTAAGCATGGAGGTAACATGACAGCACCTGCATTATTTTTTTAATCATTGTGACTTTATATGAAAAAATGTATTAAACAGGGGCAGGAGTAGATAGAAGGAGACCAATTAAGAAGTTATTACCATAGGTCAAGAGAGACCGGTCGTGGAAGATGGTTGTGTAGAGAAAGAGAACAGAGTTGAGATATACTTAGGAGGTCAATCTGTGTGACAATAATGGAATCGACATAGTACATGATAAAGAAGGAATGAACAGAGATGACTCCTCGTTTGTGACATATGGATGGATGGTGATCCCTGGTCACAGAAACAGGAGTGACCAGTTATGTGGTACTTTAATTTGAACATTTTCATTTGGAGGTCCCTTTATGATATCCAAATAAAAACACTGAGTAAGCAGTAGTAAGTAGAAAAGTAGAGCACAGAAGTTCTGTAGAGAGAAATTTGGAGACTTACCAGCATATAGGTAAGGGAAAGAGAAAACTAGCCAAAGAAAGGGTAGAGGCAGTGCTGCCCAACAGAACTCCCACGGTGATGGAAATATTCTTTCTGTGCTATCCAATATGGTGGCCACATATGGTTACTGAACAACTGAAATGTGGCTGGTATGATAAAAAAACTGAGTTTTAAATTTGTATTTACTTTTAATTAATTTAAATTTAAATAGCCATAAATAATTAATAGCTCTTATATTGGGCCACGCAGGTATAAAGTAATGAGAGAGTTAGAAACAAATACTAAGAAACTCTTTAAAGGCTGAACAGAGAA